TGCATCTGAAAGGCAGCTCATGGGTAAGATTTAGGCTCCTTCCATTCTTTCCTAAAGCTATTGTGTGGTTGCTTTTCTTGATGTTGCAGGGAGCAGAACTAATGGATGTGGTTGTGAAAGAGAATACACATTTTTGTATGGGGCCAAGGTGATAGTGAGCCTGATAGGGGGCAGATGAAGAGTGAGCAGGGAAGAGATTAAGTGCACATACTGTAGTTCCTACTGTTTCTCCAATTTAGATTACACCTACCCAAAGCAACTTCCTCCAGTTCAGGTTGATTTCAAATGCTTATTAACAAGGAGTTTGGGCCAGAGAGAGAGAAGAATGTGATTTCACACTTACCATGTGCAACATTACCGATACAGTCAAGGTACTCATTTCCATGTTCATCATACATATACTGGCCCTTTGCTCGGATAATTTTCACTGGGTCTTCTGGGAAAAAAAGCTTGCAGGAAGATCTAACCAAAAAAAAGGGAAAAACTGAAGTCCAAACATCGAATAGTCCCAAATCATTATTTTTGTTGCCATTAAAAATAAACTTTGGAACATAAACAAATGATCTTGTTGACCTCCTCTCTAATCAGTCCTCTTCCAATGGAAGCCTAAGTGAACTGCCTGTGAGAGAGAATGTGCTGTTGCAAGGAATTTGAACACTAGCTTAAGTTTCTGAGAATAAGTGAAAGTGTTATTTAAAAGGCCATATTTACATTTGAAATTCCTTTTTATGTTGTTTCAATCTCTCTGATCTGAGAGTTGCCTGATGGTGCAACTTAGAAGGTACATAGAGACATTCTCAGAAATTGCCCTTTCCTGTCACCATTCTTCCAAAGACTCAACAAGGTCTATGTCGAGTCACTTTTTGGAAGTGTTGCAGAAGTTACAAGCAATTGGTTTTAACAAGGCATTTAGCTGGTAAACAGGATTTAAACACATATGAATGGGCCAAGCAATATGATCAACAAAAGTTTTTTTTTTGGAATAAAAAAGTATTTAGGTTCTGTTTAAATGGCCAAAAGAAAGGGAGCATAAACAGAATTCTCAGAGAATTCCAAAGTACTTGAAAAAGATGCTGTCCTTGGCATTTGCCTACTTTATCAAACTTAATAGAAAGCACGGCTGATTTTAGGGCCCCAGCAGGTTTATGTCTCTACAGGACAGCAGTGGGGAAAAAATTCCAAATTCCAGCCTTAGGACAAAATTACCTCATAGCTAACCTTCCAGGAGCTACAAACTACTGGTAGAAGAGCCAGAACCTCCCCTTTTATACCTCTGGAATTACTAAATGGAAACTGGACACAGAGTGCACTTCATTAGCATATGTAACACTTCAGTCCAATCCTACAGATGATCTTGCCCAGTGCTTACATGTTAAAAAAGCATGACAGGCCACAACCTTAAGATAGCCCAAAGTTTAACACCCGCTTCTGGACCACTTATCCAGAAGGCCTGGAGCTCCTATGACACTGTGCCTCCAAGACCCACTCAACAGGGTAGTGCCAAATGGCCAATAGCATCTAAAACATCTGGGAAGACCTGGAGAATAAACAGGAGTGCACTATTGCATCACCAGGCCATGGTCATCCACTGAGGTGGTCTATCAAAAGAGCTTCACAGTTCCAGCACCAAGCCAGAAGCTGGACTGGAACAAATCTAGTTAATCAATGAGGGGGGGAGGTCGAGTCAGCAGCCAGAAGCAGCTGACCTAACAGAATTAAACAATGCTCCATCCTAGGCCCACTGAAGCAAGGGACATTTAGGTCCTCTTTGAATTCCTATACTCAGTGATTTCAGACGTAAGGCACTCTACCTGCTCATTAGAACACATGCTCGTAATAGTAGTAAAAAAATTGCTGTGATGCCCCATGTATTAGTTTATTATTTATTTCAATTCATTCCTATACCACTAAGCCATAGCTCTCTGGGTGGTTTAAAACAAAACAAAAAAACAATACAGACACGATAAAAACAAGATTGAAATGAATTTAAAATAGCTAAAAACAGAGTAAAATCACCCTGCAGAGGAAAAGAATCACCTGAATAATTCCCTCTGGCCCCCAGATAGCCAAATAGATCTGTAAAGGCCTCCACATAAAGGGACCTGGTCTTGACCTGCTGTTGAAAAGATGGCACGTTTGGTGCCAGGCAGACTGAAGCAGGGGGCCACCACAGAGAAGGCTCTCCCCTTGCTACTCACTGAGCCTCCCACATGGTTGGCACTTGAAAGAAGCCCTCTGAGGTTGAATATAGTAACTGGATATGTCGCAGTTGGGAAAGGTGCTCTGACAGGTATTGTGGTCCCAAGTCGTGTAAGGTTTTATAAGTGAAAAGCAGTGCCTTGACTCGGGGCCATGTGTTAATCTTGGTGTCGCATTCTGCATGAGCTGCAGCTTATGAACCATCTTCAAGGGCAGCCCCATGTAGAGTGTTGTAGAGTGTGCTGCACTCTGGGAATTTAGAGATTGCCAGAGTGTAGATTACTGAAACCAGACTATTCCTGTCCAGATAGGGGCATAGTTGGGCCACCAGTCAAAGTTGTAGAAGACACATTGAGCCACTAAAGCCACTTGAGCCCCAAGTGACAAAGATGGATCCAGGTACACTTCAGTCTATGAACCTTTTCCTTCAGGGGGACCACCCACCGATCTCAGTCTTGTCTGGATTGAGCTTCAGTTTGTTAGCCCACAACCAGTCCATCATCACAGCCAGGCACCAGCATGGCACATTCACAGTCTCCCCGCCGACAATGAAAAGGAGAAATTAGAGCCAAGTGTCATCAGCATGATCATGGCAATGCCTTTCAAAACCCTGGATGACACCACTCAGCAGCTTCACATAGATGTTGAATAGCACGGGGGATGGAACAGACCTCTGAGGAAATCCATACAGGGAATCCACAGGGCTGAACAGTATTTCCCAAGCACCACCTTTTGGAGATGGCCTTCGCTATGCAGCATCACCATCTCCAAGCTCAGAGAGTCGTCCCAAGATGATACCATGGTTGATGGCATTGAAAGCTGTTGAAAGGTCCAGAAGTATCAGCAGGATTACACTCCCCCTGTTCCTCTCTTGGCATAGCTTATCATACAGGGGACCAAGGTTGTTTCAGTGCCAAAACTAGGCCTGAAACCCAAGTTGTGGACTTAGGTGGTCCAAATCTGAATGAATGCTGTTTCTCAGCCTTATTTTCAGCAAAGATTGGTAGTAAAATCCAGGTATCCCTTTAAGACAAGTTGTTAGCATGTATGTATTATGTCACTTGTAAATCGATCTAAAGGGATTTTTCAGGCTCCAGGCACAAGTGCCAACTCAGAACTAAAGCCTACTCTATCCTGGCAGCAGAGAACAGGAATTCACCGGTATGATCTAAGATGGCAGAACAGTTCAAGCCGCATTATCATCTAAATCAACAGAATTAAGCTATGATAAGAATCCAAGGATCAGCAAGGTAAAAGCAAAGTAATTGCACTAACTCAGCAAGCAGGTTTGACTCTTGAACAGTCAAATCTATGCCTGCAATCTAAAGCTACACAGGCCTGGCAAGCCCTCCTGGAAGGGCTTTCCAAAATCACCCTTTCCACATGGGTAAACCAAGCCTTCAATGAAGATTCCTCATTAAAGATTTTGGGTAGCGCATGCACATGCAGCCATCTATGCTAAGTGCAGCTGCACAACCCCACAGGTGAGACCATGTCACAATCTTGCTGTCTTTCAGAGTGTGAAGCGACAAACATTACTGTCAGTATCAAAATAGGTCTGCTCCTAGTAAATATCCACTGCCCCTCATTTGGTGGAGGCACACAGAGGACAGGTGAGGTGGTGAAGGTGGAGGCACACCTCTAATGACTGCAGAGAGAAAAGGCAGTAATTAATCTGGCAAGCAACTAGGGTGCAATCCTATGCATGTGCAGTTCCCCAAAAGGAGTTGGGGGTTGTGAGGCATTTTCGGGCTTAACGTTGTGGCCTTCAAGACTGACACAAGTAGGTCAGCTTAAGACCAGAAAGAGGGAGCTAGATGTGAGGACTTTGTCCCGAAAAGCAGGGTAACACACTTGCAAGGGAGGTTTACTGACAGCAAGGCAGATACTCCCAAGAGCTATTTAATGATTAAACTCCTTTGACTGGAACGGGCATGCATGTTTAAAAATTACCTGCCCCTGAAACCTGGTTGGAAATCTAAAAGGCACCAACGTATAACTAAAGAAATACGTTTTAAAGCCTGGCTTTAATGCCAGGCAGGCACAGCTGTGGGGAGAAGAACCTTACGCATGTTGCAACGACTGCCTCCGCTGGAGTCTTGCGACGGCAATCCCGGGCAACGAGACTGCAGCCAGTCGCCACCGAGCCTGGGCACGGGCACGTGCGCGCGCTGGGGCCACGTGGCACAAGCGCTTCAGGTTGCCGGAGCCCGCCTTTCCCGACGTGCCCAAGGCCCAGCTGGGGGCAGGCGCGCGAGGAGCCAGGCACGTGGCCAGCTCACAGCCTGGCCCCAGCCGCGGGGAGGGGACCAGCCTCCTCCCGGCCTTGGCGGAGCCCCGGGAGCCGTTCCTTCGGGAAGTGCACCTACCCGATGAGCTGCGTCCGCAAAGCCAGAGTCTTCTGGCGGTCGCGAGGCTCGGCGCTCATGGCTGCTGCGAACAGATGAGGAAAACTCTAGAGATAGGAATAGTGTAGAGTGGAAACCCACTTAACCTGGAGGCGTACCTTCCTACTTCCTTTTAAACTTTTTTTTTAATCGCTCGGAGCGGAAGTGAGAGCTGCCTAAAATGAAGATCTCAGGAGGACTTCAACGGAAGAAAAACCTTGCGTAATTCTCCTTTTTAATATTGCTTTACCAAAGCAAATGCCGAGTCTTATACGGCCCTGCAGTATAGACTGCTAAAAGTGCAGGTTATGGATAAGAACAAGATTGATTAGATTTGCAGCCCAAAATTATCTGTGTTGAATCTCTCCGTTGAAGGAAAGGTCAGTCAGTCCATTTAAGTTGGTTCTCCTTAGCTCACATCCAGGACTCAAGAAGACTCCTTGTGCCCTTTAAATTGTATTCACCATTTTTTACGTTTCAAAGCACCAAGCAAAAGCTTTTTGCTGTTGTATTTAATTTGGGCTGGAGGGGCGTTCCCAGTCATAGACGAAAGCCTCGAGGTCTTTATTGCTTTCTGCAGGCGGTAGTCAATTGCGCTGTAGGAATTTATTTTATCATTATTTCTTTATTTAGGCGACTTCTATGCCGCCCCATTCGCCGAAGCTTCGGGGCGGCTCACAAACCAACTCCAAATGCTTCCCATCCCCACGCACTACGTTCAAAGTTAATTCGGAAGCTTGTTGTGCAATCCTGTACATGTTTAACGGAAAAAGTCCTGCCATATCTAACTTGCTAGGAGCGGTTGGCCATTTCCCCCTCCACAATACATAATATCGTGCCATCAATGGTCTTTTCATGCGCGGGGCGCCAAAGCTCTCCCGCAGAATGTGTGGTATGTTTTCAACCCAGTTGCGTGCGAAGCCCCCCGATAGGCGCCTCTGCTCCGTGGCAGCGGCTTCGTTGTCATCCAAGGCCGTGCCCTGACCGGCAGCTTGAGCTTGCTGCTCGGGTTGTCAACGCTTCCTCTTGGCAGGGCTCTTGCGCCCTGAAGGGCCGCCAAACGCTTCTCCCCAGCTCAGCGTTTGCTCGCCAGAAAATGCTTCCCGTGCTCAACTGCTTTGTGAAAGGGTTAGGGACCTCTGCAAAGTCCAAACAACCGCCTCTGCCCCCCCGAAAACCAACAGTCGCTAAGGGTACAGCTACTTTTTCCGTCTCTGCAGAGCTGCTCATTTCCCCAGAAGTAAACAACATGTAGCTGTTACATAGCACTTCTAAATGTTAAACACACTTCCCGTTTGTCTTCTAGTTGTAATTCCAATACTGTAAATCAGAGTTAAGCAACCTTTTTGGCAATTTGGCAAACTATCGTGGGCACTCCCACCAATGACTGCAGTAACAAGCCAGCTTACTGACTTGGCAACTTTCCAGCCCAAAAGGTGGATTACCAGGAGCAGTGGGGCCAGTACTCCGAACAGGTCCTTTGAACCCGCAGTCTTGAGCAATAGCAGAGCCCTCTAACATCTTAGGCAAAATAACTTCCCTTCCATGAGATGAAGTGTGGGTCAGCCCTTTGGACAGCTTTAAAAGAGGATTGGACAAAGGAGGTGATACGAGGCCACCTCCACTAGCAGAGACGCGGGTAAGTACAGTGACGGCTGGGTTCCTCCGCCGAGGTTGCTCTCTCATGGCCCCCAGTAGTGCCTATCTAGCCCCCTGCTGACCCCCCATTACCCAGCAGAAGTGACAGGAGCCCTTTTGTGCCCCCCTGCTTCTTTTTCTTGGTGACTGGGCAGTCCCCCTCCCCCTGCTTCCCACCCGGGGGTGGCTCTGCACCCCACTTGAGGCCTTGAGGATCTCAGGGGAGGTGAGGGTGGCAGCAGCTGGAATCCTCAGTTTGATTCCAAGTGCTGGCAAAAAATTAGTTAACAACAACAACAGTGAGAGGTGTAGGGGTTCTGGTTAGGTATCAAGCAAGGTGGTTGGGTGTGGACAGGTGCACTACGGCCCGCAGGTCCCATGTTATCTTCCCATGAATAAAGCAAGGCAGTATTATCATCTGCCATATTGCAGGTAGGGGACTGAAGTGGATTGTGGCTCTTGCTCAGGTTACCTGGTGAGCTCAGGGCAAGGCAATCGGCTTGCAACATCATAACTGGGCCGTAATCCTTTCCTGGTAGTAGGTTCTTCTGAGTAGACATGGAGAGTTGCACTATCATGCTCCTAACAAGTACACTACCTATGCAGAAAAGAAAGTACCCAAATGCTCTTGACTGGTGGGAAACCCAATATGGATAAGAACTAGGTTCAAAAGGTTGCAGTCCTATACTGACTTACCTAGGAGTAAATCCTATGCAACTCACTGGGACTTTTTGGAATAGGCCCATGTAACATGGCATTGGAAAGGCTGCCATCTTTAAGCTATTTTGAGTGCTGTAGATTAAGAATGGTATACAAGGACAACGTATCATTAGATCAGCTCACCAAGAAGCTCTTCAAACAGGGCATGGTCATGATAGGCTCTGCTATTTTGTCCCGTTTGATAGCCAGAGCCTAGGTTCCAATCCAAGGGCGGAGGTTTCATCCTTATTGGTTATGACTTAACAGCCTTTGCTAGGCTGGTCAATCTTTTGTGCATAGAATTTGAACGGGAGGCAGTGTGAGTGCACAATGCCAAAGAAGTAACCACCCGTGAATTAATTCTGTGTGCTGTTCATATGACCAACATGCAGATATCCACAGTTAATAAAAATGGGGGTTTTCTCTCTGAAATGGTTGAGAAAAGGCAGGAGGATTTTATAAATCATTACCTTCTCAGAGGATATCCATTTCTTGGATATTGCAATGTATCTCATTATTCCTCTTCTTATTTAACAGTTGGTACCAATAGAGTGTTCCATATCTGCTCTCGTCACGTATATAAACTTTTCCAATTTATTATTTCTTTCATTCATTTTTTACACAACCCTATGCAAGTCTATTTTGGATTAAGCCCAACTGAATACAGTGGAGAGTTAATTCCAAATAAATATTCAGAGGATGAGGCTGCTTTAGATTAAGGAAATACAAGCAAGGCCCATAACAAAATGTTGCCATATACCCCTGGCATGTGTTACCTGAGTCTGTGGCTGAAAGAAGTGAATTTTAGTATCAAAGGTGTAAGTCCCTGTTTTAACATAGATCTTGCTTCATTGGCAAATTGATTTATGGGGTAAGTAGTGTTTGTTTATTGATTATAAGCATTTATATCCTGTCCGTCCGTGGAAATGCTCAGGATGGCTTACATAATATAAAAATTCTAAAATACAATATTAAAACTACAATTATTAAAACATTTAAAATTGAACATATGAACTAAGAAAAAACGGAAACTAAAATAGATTATGCTGCAATCACTGTGTAGATTAAAGCAGAAGGCCTCTGTGTGCAACTGTTGGTCCGGTCTTTAAGTGTGAAGCAATTTAAGTAGTTGCACCACTGACCTGAAATTTGGTAGTGAACTATATTGTAGGACTGCTGTAAACCACTTTTAGCACACTCCCCAATGTGCAGCAGGATCCTAACCATGAACAGCATTTCAGGACTTTTTATACCACCTCAACCCACCCTAAAAGGAATGGGCCACAATGCAGTTGTTGTAAACTACTCTGGGCTTCAGCCCAACCTCAATCCCATAACAGGAGTGTAATGGCTATGGAAAATAATGTAGGGTTATTCAGAGCAAGACCTGCAGGCAGGTCTGTCATAACCCATCCTCTTTGAGCCGCAACACCTTCTGACCCACAATATGGGACAGCAAATTGAATTTGCAACTCTTCTGTTTTGCTACCTTTGGGGTATATTTTTTGAGGGACACACAAAGCTTGAGGAACATGCTAAGTCTTGAATTTCTCAATTGATTTGTACAGGCTTCTCCGAATTCCTTCCTTGAGAATATTTGAGAAATGCTTCTCAGTATGAAACAGGAGCTAACCTATTCAGACAATAAACCTTTCTCCCTTTATGTCTCTGCCTTCCTGTTCGAGCCACCCTGTTCTCACCCGGTTGTCAGTTTTATATATTTTTTCTGGTACCCAACATTCTGTACCAAAATATGGGGCTGCAATGAGTCCTTCCATAGGAGCTTTATCGTCTTTTGGCAGAAGGAAGTATTCTGCAAAGTTCAGGATTGCCTCAAGTCTGCATCATTGCTTGATACCTGTCTTCAGGAGTGGACAGTATAATTTTGACTGTGTGTGAGCAAAGGAAGACTTTATCAATATATATATGTCTCTAATGTTTGTAGTGAGAATATTTCCAAGTAACTGTTTTGAAAATTATGGCTCGAGTAAATGCAATAGCTTATATTGGGTGTAAAAATGAATAAAATTGAAAATGCTAGATCTTTAATTTTTAACTTCAGTTATAGCTCCTGCAGGTTGAGATGTTTCTTTAAAAATAAGTGAAAGACAGTGTGTATAAGAAGTAGTTTATTTTAAAATTGTTCAAATATCAACTCTTATTACAGATTAAAGCGCAAAACAATGGGAACACTGCCAAATAATGCAGCGTCTGTTGTAGTTAACAAAACAGAATTGACCAGTACAAGTCTGTATCTTTCAATAATGCATAATACTGAATTAATGCCTTCATTGTAAAAATAGTTGTTCCCACATATTACAACTAAATATAAACTTTTTCTGGCATGTATGTTCGAAAATTTACAGTAAGTTGCAACTGTTAACAACTGAACATGTTTGTTGCATATTCTCCCGTAATCTTGTTTTGAAGCAAAGCTATACATTTTACTGAAGCTCTGAAGAGTTCTTCAGTATGAAGCATGTAAATACATTCCACAAAATTCTTCATAAGAGACATAATCCTCAAAGCCCTTACATGTGTTACTACTCAGTACATGAGATTACGCATATGAAAAGGAGATTCGTATGGGCAGCTTGTAAGAGCACAACTGGCTATTTATCTGTCCATCTCTTCATGCATCTTCTATACTTTTCCTGAACTTAAAGTACAAGGTGTATTTTGATCATCTTTACTGATCATTGCCCCAAGAGTAGAACATATATAGTCCA